ACCGAGAAGAACGCACCGACGAGAACGCACCGACGAGAACGCACCGAGAAGAACGCACCGACGAGAACGCACCGACGAGAACGCACCGACGAGAACGCACTGAGAAGAACGCACCGACGAGAACGCACCGACGAGAACGCACTGAGAAGTACGCACCGACGAGAACGCACCGAGAAGAACGCACTGAGAAGAACCAGTGGAAATAAAATGGTGTTAAAATAAATCAAAACATCTTGTAAAGGGATGTAGAACTAAAAACAGGAACACGTCTGTGCTGGTTATTGTCATGAACTTATCAGATGTTTGAAGCCACTTAGAGAGGTAGGACGATAATAATTAATTATATTAAATTAATACTTCAGTTAATCTCTTCAGTCCAACTGATGTAATCTAAATGTTTCTTGAGCAGAGATTAAACCGAGTTAAACAATAAATGAATGTTTCTTTTGTTCCTGACTGTAACATATTATATATATTTATATATATTATAAATATATTTTATATACATTTGTATATTGCAGTACTTGTGTATTTTCTGTGTTCTGCTCAGATTCCTCAGAACCTGCCGTGTTCCGTCACTTTACAGCCCGGCCCGGAGGACACGGGAAAGGTACCGTCCAGTCCTTCTCCGACTCGTTCCAGCTGTTGGGTTTTATTTGAGTCTTTAAACAGGAAGTCCAGTAAAAATAAAATCTTTATTTTCTTCAAACCTAAAACAAAACCTCTCTTTAGAACTTTAATTTGTACTAAATCTAATTTGTCTCAAAGTTTCTCCAGATTAAACTTTTAAAGATTTAATCTGGAGATTGTCTCTGGAAATAAAAACAAGTTTAATTTCTTCACTTCTGCTCCGAGCCAGATTAATTTAACCTGGAATGGTTCTGATGGTCGGAGGAGCTGTGTTCTGCAGCCTCCAGTCTGGGCGGCCAGTTTATGTTCTGGTTCTGATGGTTCTGTCGCTGCGGTTCCTCCTGCAGGCCTGCGGAGTCGACTTTGAGATCAGAGCGTTCTGTGCCAAGTCCATAGAGGAGAAGATCCACAAGAGGTGGGTTCGGTTCTGGAGGTTCTGACGGGACCCTCAGGGCGTAAACCTGTGAAGGGCTCTTATTTTGAAGGATGTGTTAAAGTTCTGGCGCTGCCAGGTGGTCCGGTTGGTGACGGCGCTGTCGTTGGCAGGAACTCTGTTCGTCTGGTGATCAGGAAGGTCCAGTACGCTCCGGAGAAACCAGGACCTCAACCCATGGTGGAGACGACCCGCAGCTTCCTGATGTCGGACCGGTCCCTGCACCTGGAGGCCTCGCTGGACAAGGAGGTGCGCACACACACACACACACACACAC